TAGAAAGTATTTACGGACTGTATGTATATGTATTTGTTGATTTTAAGTAATATGATTTCAATTAAAGTAGTTTTAAGGGGAATCCACGAATAATTTGATTTTTGCTTTCTCTCATCCAGTAAGATGCGTAGGAATCCGATTTGACTTTAGTACGTTGTGTCATGCAAAGCTGTTGTTAGTATTAAGTCCGATCGCACTCGTCTGGCCGATGAGGTTACTGTTATGTGACATCGGAACGAAACGTTTATTATCAATTGATTTGAGGGTTAAAAATAATGGACGAACATCCGTGTTGAACGTATCAGTCGTCAAAGAGGAAATACATTTAGTTCGAAAGTCAGGATAAAGGAGTCCATAGTGGAGTGAAGAATTATAATTATTTTTTTTATGTAAATGATGCATTCAGTAAGAATGTTTATTTATTTTAACTATCAGATCATCGTCGTAATGTAAAATATATTTGGTTATTGATTAAGTTTAGTTTTTAATAAGTACACAATATTCGTTTAGATTGATTTACTTAAATAAATAAAGCTAAATACAAGTTAGGCATGAAATGTTTCAGACTACGGACGCATATGTATAAAAATCCATAAGAAAATTTTGTACGGCATTAATTATCCAGTGATACAATCAAGATCACACCGTTATTTGAGTTCAATTTTCTTTAATTTCAATTCTACTAGTGTCAAAGTGAAACGCAATAATGGTTCGTGTTATTGGATAGTTGATGAGTATTGTTTTTAGTTCCGTAAGTCAATTAAAGCTGCCCGCTGAAATGTTTTCATGACTCGTTGTCGCGTGTGCATAAATATCGCGACCGCGGCGGCATACGATACGTTTGTAATACAATAAATTCGCCCTTGCAACTAGGATACAATGGGGACATCGGATTCACCCGAAGAACAGTGGAAACTGGTTGAAGTTGATACTCTTGAGACGTTTAAATAATCCCTTGATCTCATTAAAGATTTACTATAACGCTGTTGCATATATTTTTTTTTTATTTTAAAATTATTTTTGAAGATATACTTCTATTGGCGCGTTAGGAAAAATTATGAGAGTGAAATGTTTACGATGCGCGCGCAAACCGACACCCAAAAAGCGACACGATGAATTTGGTTGCAAATCAATCAGCCTTACGGTATTACCATGGCAACGAATAACAGCTTTTTGACATTTAACTATAATTCCAAGTTATAGCCGTTTACATAAATTGCATTTAATCAATTTTTCACAAACAAAAAGTACATTCACTTATATCAGTTGCACACTTTTTATTTAAGATTATGTACAATATAACTTTTACAACAATAAAAAAAATAAAATGTCGACTTCAGTAACAACATTAGATTACATAAATCTTTTGTGTAACAAATGCAATTTTTACTAAAAAATTTTATATTTTTCACAAAGTTTACACGTTGACGAAATAGATAATTTTTTCTCGCGACAGAATATCGTAATTAATATTGTATAAATAAATTTGAGTGCCGATTCCTAAGAGACGAGACATTGATTCTAGATTAATTAAGCAAAATATCTTAAGCAAAAGCAAATGTTTAATATTATATTATGAAATTTAATCACTCGATTATCTTAAAGTGAAGCAATCATATTTAAACGCCCGGTTTCTGAAACATATCGTAGATGTCAACTAATCAGCTATCAAATGGCTTTTTAAATTTCATTCTGATCATTAAGAAGATCATTCTGGTCAATACAGAGAGTTTAACCATCCTTTTGGCAATTAAAGTGAAACTTGAAAAGCCATTTGACAGCTGATTAGTTGACAACTTCTATGATCAGTGTTTCAGAAACCGGGCGAATGTGTACTAAAAGGGCCGACGAAAGAGGCCACTATCTTATATCAAAACAGTAAAATGCGTCGCGCCCAATGCAATACCAAACACATGGAACATGAAACGCACGAAAAGCATTTGTCCCCGGTTTCATATTCTATGTCGACGTTTTTTTTATGTTAGTTATCAAACCGTAAGAATCTATATTCGTCCACGTGGACCGCTCGGCACAGACGTGCGGTCGCGTTCTGTTCGTCGCTTTGAGTTCTTCGGAGACGTTATTTTTGAATTTTTGTACACTAAAAAAATTTTATTTCTGTTATTGCGTACATAAATATGTTTCATACCACATTCAAGGATATGAGAGTGCTAAGAAAAAATACGTTGAAATTTGTCTATGGATTCCGGTGTTTTTATCCCATAGTGACTGACGAAGCGTTCAATTGTTTCTTTTTGTATAAAAAATCTGCGATACCCGCAAAAAGTATACGCATTGTGTTGCCGCATTGGACACGCAGCGTGTAATATTCATGGGCTGACTTTTGGAGCAAATTAAAAATATCGCTGTTTTTTTTTTAAATGGACACTATAATGAATTTGAAAGGGAAGCTTCAGGCAAGCGGGTATTTATTTATATGAGTATTCAAAAGATTAAAAATAATATATTTTAGTCCCTCAAATGAAGAAAAATAAAAATATTTTGTTACAATTATCTATGACGCTTTAATTATTCTGCTGCTATGTTTAAGCTTTAACAAGTTGCGATGTTTTAAGTCGTAATCTTCAAGTTGGCAGGAGACTTGAAAATCCAAGCTTAAGAAGTTTACTCTTCGACGTCATTGAACGGAAACGGCTATTCTGTAAAGCTTCTTTATGTCACGACAGTGTAAGGTTGTAAAAAAACTCTTGTAGCTTTAACTAACTGTATAGTATAAACTGCAGTATACAGACAGACTTATAGTGTCCTAAAATATTTATTTATTTATATTCGCCTACGTTACAATAATCCCATATCGTAAGTACGTACATACCTATTAGACATTTTTATTAAACCCTAAAACTTTACACATAGAATTAAATCTTTACGTTTTTATCACATATCAATTTTTGTAATAAAAGCGTGTTACATTGTTATTGCAAAAGCAAAATAATGGAGGTGTAATTATGCTAAATGTTCTTTAATGTTCCATCATAGTATTGCATTCTCACGCGATTTACACATGTATGCAAAATTTCAGCTCAATAGGTAACCGGGAATTGGATCAAGTTTAATTTGCAAGATTTGATGACAAACCTCGGAACAGACGAAATTAAATAAAATCTTTAAAATTTGTAGAAAAAAAATTTTTTCCACAAATCTTTATGTTTAATCTAAAGTATAAGTAAATATTAGCACTACAAAAATTTAAATTTCCAAATAAAAACTTGTAATAAAAAGGTCTATCGTCTTGAATCGAAAATCGAAAACAAACGCTAGTTCGATTGAGTCGACGATTAGGAGGAATCCAGGTTGTCAAGATCAATGCGACCACAGCCAGCGTTCATATGTGGGTCAAGCTAAATCTGGTCCAAAGGGGATATCACTGATTTATTCATCCGCAACTACCATGCTACGCGCACGCGAACCAGTTTCTCGCAGGTTTACCAACTAATTTCGCACTCCGAAATAATACAGTTGCGATTAAATAAGCAACTATGCTGGCGAATGCAATTAAGTTTCGTAACAACGTTTTGCGTTCAAAGTCTTAACGTTTATTGATGAGAGTTAAATTTATGTTAAGGATTAAATCACACTTTCATTTTGTTGTTTGATGTGTTTATCTTGCCATTCACAGTTCCGGACCAAGAATGACATAGTTACAGAGTGTCACTCTCCACTAACATCTTTATTGGATCGCCATATGGAACAATAAATTTTTGAGACCACATTTTTTTAAGTTATAAATCAATTACATTTAATCGCTTATATGAACATATATTTAACATGCATATTATGAACATGCTTAAAAATTATTTTTTATGACATCCCCACAGAAAAACGCGTCGAAATAAAAATTTCGGAATCTTTTTACGTGTGCATGTATCTCATTTATCACTCGAATTATTAAGGCGTACGTTTGAAGTGTCTACGTTTTTTGTTGGATTTAATTTCAATTGCGGCGGAGAGACGCTTTGAGCATTGAATTGAGGAGTTGAAGCAGACAGGGCTGTGTTTGAATTCCAAACACTGAAAACAAACGGGTGCATAAATTCATGTTTTTCCAGCATAGGAAAGCACTTCGTGGCTGTTTCACTTGGCTTTTCGTCAGTGCTGGTAGGTCTTTAGAGACTGCATGCATACATATAACTAATACATTTTATAACGTTTATTTATCTAATATTCTGTGAATAATAACCTTCTGTTTCTATTTTCTATGGAATTTTATTGTATTTTAGGCGTACAAACACCCATATCCACCAAAAACTTGTCCCGGGTGGGAATTGAACCGAAAACTGCGGTCGAAAAATCAGAAGATTAGCAACTGAACCATTGAGTGTTATGGTACCTGTTTGGTGTACATTTACTTGGTTTTTTTCTGAGACTTCAGTCCAAACGATGGTAAGTCATTAACATATAGAAAGTCAGTACGGAGATTACGATGTAGGTGATAATAATATAATGGTGACGTATACGAGATATCGGCAACAGTTGTTGTGATCTCTCTCGCAATCGCTTTGTTTAGAGTATTGTGGAACATAAAATAATTTTATGTATGAATCAGAACAACTGCCTTGTATGTCAGGTGTGCGTGATTGCGAGCATGTTGTATGATATCATTAAAAGGAATCTGCGATTAGTTTTATTTAATTGGTATAAATAACTCGAGCAAATTATCGCTATCTCCACAAGGTTCGGCGTAGTATTTATAGTTGTATATGTACACGTAGGTATCTCGTGTAAATGACAAAAATACTTAAAACAATTAATTAAAAAAATTAAGATGATGAACGACCTCTTTTCGAAATATGACAAAGAGTACTTTCTGTTCAGCTGTCAGCCCATCAGGACGACACATTGTCACGACTGTCCCATGGCACACTTTTCACGCAGAAAGTATCACCAGGGCTTCATAACTTTGAAAGCCCGAGATAGGCTTCTGTGCATAAAAATTAAAAAAAAAAAAGACAAGAGATTAATCGTATATAATAAAGACTTACGGATTTTCGAGCATTCTCAAGCACACTTTGGCCATGGTGCTGAGGGTCTCCGTCGTGTTCTCCAAGTCCTGCTGGTTGTCGTTGACGAACTGGCTGGTTGCTTCGGAGAGGACCTTCAGCATTGGAGTCGCTTGCGCGTAGAACAGCGACATCCTGTTGGCGACTTCGGCGCCTATGTGGGGCTCCTCATCCGGGGGCAGCTCCGAGTTGATGAGACCCCCACGGGAGACGCTACGCCGGTAGTAGCTGAAGTCGTTCTGGATCGCTGGGGTCTTCATCTGCGCAGCAATAACGAAGGCTATAACTGGAACTTTACGAGAACTTGCAAGTGCCTTTAGGAACACCCCTGGTCTAAATTTGATAGTGTTGTTGGTATACTAAAATAAAAGACAGGTTCAGCTTACTACTAGAAGAAGTTGTTTGAAACTGAAGTTCTACATTCAATAGAGACTATTCATTAGAAGAGCAATGTAATTGAGAGGTTACATTCCAAACGACTTAATGAATTAAAAATTACTAAACCAATTCTTCAGATATTTAAATCAATAACAAACTTCAAACATTGCATAAGCAAATAATAGATAATGAATAAATCATAATAACAGATAATCTTTGAACAATAATCAAATAATTGAAAAGCATAATGAAAAACAGGCGGCGGAAGAATGGAGAACTGAAATAATGGCATCAAGGAATAACAAGTTTATTGGTGTTTTGCATTTAAAAGTAAATAAAGAGAACAATGAAGAGATATACGAGTCACAGCGGCGGGGTCAAGCCGGACCTTTCTATTACTCAATGGATCGTTAATCGATTCGCTGCCTTATTAGTACGTCCGATACATGCCTAACTCGCTTTGAACTAGCTTTGCGATAACTTATCTGAATGGTGCTCGCAAATAAATCAACAATAATTGTAATTGTTATGCCAGTTTCCGTTTATATAGCGTTTAATTGAATAATTCAATTAAGAAACGACTTCAACCCCGGAAACTAATGTAGTTCATAATTTGAATATTTATAATGCAGTACTGGATTGGTCTATAAAACGTTGACTATATAAAACTTCATTACAGTCGCTTATTCGACAGATTAAAACTGTTAAAAATATCATATCAATGCAAATATCATGTCAAGGCTTGTTACATTTCGAGTGTTTTTTTACTTAGGTAATTATTTGCAAACGTAGCATGAACGCATTTGAATGAAATATTTATAAGAATGTTAAAATAGATAATAAATTTTTTTCACGGCAATACCATTAGCTACATATTCATGATTAATATTCGATGAAGCTAAGCTTAGTGACCATAGAAAATCTTTATAAAAATGTATAGGTAGGTACTTTTTTAACATCTAAATTTATTATCACAAGCACTGGAAGCGAAAGAATATGAAACATTATTTTTAATAATTTAATATAGAATTTAATTTTAAAGTAACATCCTTAATAATAAGTCCCATCGTCGAGCAAATGGATCGAGATGGTATTAGGGATAGTCCACCAGACGACCCCAAATACCCGGTAAACTACACATATTATATTCGAAATATTTTATCTAATTATTTCGAAAGTTAGAATGTTTTCTCAAGATCTTTCCCTTCACTATACTAAAATTGCAATTTTAAAGCTGACTTCAGAGCAATTCCATTGGTGACAGCACCGTCATTTGAATTCGGGCTGCTCGAGTACACTGAATTGAAAGCGAGCGCTATGTATTCATGCATGCAATGCATTGTACGTACCTAGTATATTTATCTAATAATTGAGGGATTTCGAAAATCTGTTGCCCCGTAAGATGTATACTAGTTCGCGGTCATGTTTCAAGTGTACATAATGCATATTTAAAAGCGTATTACATAAACAGTATACTATGCAGAAGTAAAGTGCATTGACTCGATAAGGTTGAGGTCAATAGGGCTTTCAATTGCCAATCGAATTACTGCCACTCGTTCAATTCCGCATTACGTGTAAACATTGGCTATTGTTGAAGTTGAAGGATAGATAGTATTAATAACATGCGAGAAACATCGATGTGGGGGTGTTTAAAATTTTAATAGATAAAACTGGTATTCAATATTATCTACTAAATTTTTCATGACTCAGTATAAAGTAGAAGCTATTCTATACATAATCAAATAACCCGATAAATCGAAAGAACTACCTCAGTCTCATTCGTTTGTATGTATATTACCTAGCGCTAGCACATACGGCAGACATATTCAATTTGAATGGTAAGATGTAATCTCGCCAGACAAATTGAATATCTAACTATCAAACTATCGAAACTAACTGGCTACTCGGGAAATATCTTATGATAGAATCCTTGTAACATCAGCTATTACATTGTAACTTAAGCAGAATTACAATTAATAAAATTATAAGGGCGTCCAGACACTTATGACACCCAATGGTTGCCGTGATTTCTGATGAAAATATTCTGAAGAAAATATTAAAAAAAATACGCTTTAATTTCATGAAATTAGAGGGCAATTTTTTACAACTTTTCTACCTTTCAAATCCACAATGTATCGTTGATCGTTCCTAAATGTGTTGGGATCATAAAATCTTTATGTATGTATACCGATATCGAAATATGTACTCACCTTGTGTTCATCAAACTTCAGTACGAACTCCAATATTTCGGCGAACTGTTTGACCAATGCTTGCTGCTGTTCCAAATGTTGGGTAGGGCTCATTGCGCCGCCTACCAGTGAACCCAAAAGACGGGGAACTACCTGCAAAGAAAAAAAAGCAATTGTTGAAAAGTCAAATTTTAATTGATGTAGACATTATGACATACTGAGAGAAATAAGACTGATGACTTGTTTGCTAAGCTGTTGGTTTAGTTACAGAGGGTCATGAGTTCGATTTTCATACGGGACAAGGATATGGTTGAACCACATATATGTTCTGTATCTGGAAGTTTGTTCCAAAGGAGAATTATTGTTTAGTAGGCGCCAGTTCCAAAAAATCCTACCCAATACCGGTCACATATATCACATGTTGGAGGATGATGATACGATAAAAGAAAATCAACAAATTTTAAATTATTAATTGTTACGATTTGGGAGAACATATGGACGAGAAAAATATCCTCTCACGCCAAGGTTACTTGGGTTACAAACTTTTACGGGACAAACGTATCACAAAGCTTAATAAAACTCGACCAAGACAGAATAAGGCTAAGGTTGTGCATTGTTTACATGTTCAGTGATTTTCCGATGTCTTGAGTATCGAACACACAAATTTATTTCGATACAAATACACATTGTCAATAAGGATCGAAAACAATTTCCTGTCCCATCATCGTATTCACTGTGATTCTTAAAAAAGGAACTTATTATTTCTAGGTTTACTTATTTGGTGGAGATGTCGGGTTTTATGCGAAAATCAGAAACGTGGTTGGCGATGAATCATGCCGTACCCTGCGAATTACAGATTCTGCTCAACGTCAATCGTAGTTGCCGATTTGTTTATTCGATATAAATGCTAGAACATTGGCTCGTTATAGTTTTCGATTCAGGAATACGGTCTTCACAGTAGATGCTAATACGATTTACACCTTAAACACAAAAATAAACAATTCTTATTACTTCCTCTCAATGTTTATTTGCTTACACAGAATACATAACTAAGGCTTTAGATGTTAACTTCTTTTTGACATTAAACTAGCGACCCGCCCCGGCTTCGCACGGGTGCAATGTATTATACATATAAACCTCCCACTTGAAACCTTATTTAGTAAAAAAAACCGCATCAAGATCCGTTGCGTAAAGATCTAGGGACAGAAACGCAGCGTGACGTTTAGTTTTATATCATGTAGTGAAGTTTAGAAGTTTGATTAAGAGAAATGTATTAGTTACCCTAACTTTATCCCCGATCACGAAATGACGTGGATGCTTGCGTGATGTCAAATCTAGTTAGTGCTATCTGTAATAGACTGTCTTTGACTGATATTAATGAAATTATGATGGTGACACGGTTGGCGCAGTTAATTGTTAAGGGATTGATTTCGACGCATGGGTACCATTCCACCGGGATGAATATTTGTGCGACCTACAGAAATTGTAAAGGATCTGGGTGTTTGTCATTGTTTAAACATTAAATCAATGCCAACATTTTTTAAGTTACATTTGACAAACGCCTTATCTTACTGTGGGGTAGGGGTTATAAAAAAACTGACAAAAAACATTTAGGAAATAAAGGTATCGTGATAAATTCAAAGGTTGTTCGAACGCAATGATTTTGAAAATATTTCAAGAGTTATTAAGTTTGCCTTAGCGTTTTGTGAGTTTTCGATGATAATTTAATTGTATGTTTAACAAAGCTGCCTATTGAGGTAGTTGCAAATTAAATCGGAGATTGCCGATTACAAACAATGCCCGGAAGCTTCAGGTTCCGTCTAATGCCCCTTCAGAAACTAATTGGTAACAAGAACTAGTTGTTCTACTTGCAACAATTTCTTTCCTACGTTTTGTTTAGGCCCAAAGAAATTATCAGAAATTGATATTTTGTGTGTTAACAAACAGTCCCAAACATATGATATAAGCCCCTCTGTGCAATATATTCATTTACTCAATTTTTATGCAAATGTCTATAAGAGTTCTAACGTTTTTACCTTGATCCTAACATTTTAAGTATTACTGAACTTGAATATTAACAAATATTATAACGACAAGCAGCGCTAGTGGTTATATCACCGTCCGGGAACGCAGCCGAAATCCAAGTGACCACTCTTTACCCGACCCTGTGACCGTTAGCACGAGTAGATAACGTCATATCCGGTAAACTGTGTTGCCAACGCCAACATTCGGCCGTCCTGCATCACGCCTTCGTCCTCGAAGGGCGTTGTAGTCTGGTACAAGTAACCTTCATAAAATTAACACCCTTACCCTGTGGCTTATCTCCCTCAACTGGGATGAATATCGCCACGTTCAGAACACCTTACACGGTGGCTTATCCCTCAACTGGGATGCATATCGCCACGTTCAAAACACTTACGCTGTGGCTTATCCCTCACAACTGGGATGCATATCGCCACGTTCAAAACACTTACCCTGTGGCTTATCCCTCACAACAGGGATGCATATCGCCACGTTCACAGTTTTCATCGATTTATCAACTTAGGTAGCTTTACCGGTTAGACCAGTCGTGTATTGCTACGTTGTCTAAGTACCAGTGATAGTGTTTACAATGGATATCCATCGCCAGTTCAAGCCAAAACTTTCGTTACGTTTAACTAAAAGATTTTTTCACCATTACGTATAGTAACTATAAAACACATTGTTTTATTTTACGAGGGTAGGTACCCAAGGAGAAAATATGTCGCCGATTGTTTGAATAGCCAAACGCGAGTTTTCGTATTGAATCCCACTTCTGATATAGGAGTTCTAAAGTTTTTACCTTGATCCTAACATTTTAAGTATTACTGAACTTGAATATTAACAACTATTATAACGACAAGCAGCGCTAGTGGTTATATCACCGTCCGGGAACGCAGCCGAAATCCAAGTGACCACTCTTTACCCGACCCTGTGACCCTTAGCACGAGTAGATAACGTCATATCCGGTAAACTGTGTTGCCAACGCCAACATGTCTAGGCGGATTAAATGCCTGAGAGATTCTTTATAAGACGACCTATTAGGTGTTGCAGAGATAAACGAAGTAGGTGTTAAGTAAAGAAAAACCGCGAAAATTAATACAAAAATATTCACATTAATACGATTATTGCGACATACACATAATTATGTATAAATATAATATATTACATACTTATAATAAATGATTTAGATGGTTCTGTGGCGCAGTTGCCAAGGTATTGGCTTCGGTGTCGCAGGGTGTGGGTTCGACTTCCATACGGGAGCACTATTTTTTGTGACACAAAGATAATTGTTTCGGATCCGGGCATTTGTCCACGTGAAATTTATGTATTTTAAACGTCCTAACAGTACAATATAACGTATCATACATTAAGGCCAATGTTTTTTTTAAAAATGACCTAAAACTAATAAATCATTATAATATAAAAATGAGTAACTAATACTGCGTTTGATTTGTCAACTTATCCAGATTTGGTTTACGAGTAAACATATTGGTGACTATTATTTAAAATTAACTAACTATTCATAAACAAAAAAGCGGGCCCCGGCTACCTCACTCGCGAAAGTATAATACTCCCACTTCACACTGGTCTTCTGTGAAGTCGTGCTTACAAACCAGAACGAGCCTGTCTATTCTTGAGACAGGGTAAGCTGTTGCGTTATCGGAACTAAAAACTATTTATATTATGGTATTCCCAAAACAATTACAGGAAATGGATTTTCGGATGATAGAGTTACAGTGCAGAGTTCATATCCATATGTCTTTATTTTGTGTCAGCCGCGCCTAGACTTTTTCTCCTTTGTTACTAAACCGTCGCTAGGTTACCTCGTCGCTCATTTTGTGCCTCACTCTATGTAGTGCTGTTGGCTCTTTTGCATAAAAGTGCAATAAAAACAGGGCTGCCGCGGTTTGTCTTTTATTTTCAAAAACATCACATTTTTTCGAAGCTGTCCATTTTTATCTATTCTGTCGTTGTAGCCGTGACAATTGCAAGCGTACACGATGGGAAATCATTTTAAGCGATATGTCTATTCATTTATAAACAGTGAGTGCCCTAATTATTAAAAATGATAGAATATAATAAAGTAAGTGGAAGAATAGGCAACAAAAGGCAGACAGAAAATGAAGTTAAAGCAAATGCATCATTCATAGAAACTTTTTTTTTATTGGCTTTATATTGTTCAAGAATTTTTAAATAAGTTGGTAGATACTCGACACATTGCGGCGTTCATAACAGTCGCCGTGACCGTAATGTCAATTTATTTTTAGTGTTCAGTGTTCGCATAAAATATAAGGAAATGATTAATATACATTTCGAAATTTCAGTGCTATCGTGCGCATTTGTATAATTAAATTAAGTTTCAAAGTTAATTTAGTTTAATCAAACTATACTAAACGACTAATAAAAACTTCGATCATCACCAAAAACACTATCTATGGATTGTTTATGGTAACGACAGCATGTAATGCAAGATAAATAATGTATAAAAATTGGTATACGCCACCACCACACGACGACAGCCCTACCACGGCGGCGTCTGCCATCCCCGCCCACCCAGTAATGAGATACAGGCTTGAGTTTATGAGCGAACTCCTTGATTATGTTGTGCATTTTGCAGAGCGCATTTAGCATGCATTGCTTTGTTTTGCTGTTCCGGTATCTAGACGCATTCTTTTATGCACTTTGTAAGTTCGAGTATAAAAAGGTGCGCTAATTGTTCATCCGACCGTTTTTAATGTATGCTCTAATGTTCCGTGCATTCAATCAAACAGATCGTTTCGTTTGACATAAACTGTCGATATGAAAATTATTGAACTGAACTTCTTTGCTTATATAAAGGAAGTATTTGCTTGTTTGTATTCGGGGTAAATGTGAAAAAAGTACTGCAATGCGCCGCTATTATGCGAAGGTAGGTGTCAGGGGACGCTAACACCACCAAAAATGTTTTATATATATATCATATTGTCTGTTAGTCGGAAAGATACGCGAAGTTATAACCGTTAGTGTCAATATGTATTCTGTTAGTCGGTGTTATTTCTGTTCAACTGATAAACGAAGTTAAGCAGATAGAAAATAAGATTCACAAAATTAATAAATCGTTAAAACATTATATGAAAAAAAAAAAGTGCTTT